TTGCGTCACCGATTGCCCTAAATTTTCATTTAGAGCACGGTCCACGTAGCTTGTGTAGGCGGAGAAAGTCAACCGTTGTGCCCTCCTAGTAACGCACTCTTGCTTCTAAAAGGCAAATGGCAAAGAGAAGGTGCATCTATGGTCAAGGCGGAATGCTTGACAGTCTCCGCCTACACGATCGGAGTGGAGTGTGTTTTCAAATTCGGCCATCATCAGTCGACCTCGCAGACAGCCGATGTATTCACTTACTTTTTAATAGCATCGACTTTCTCATATTTGACTGCAGCCGGCGGCATTAGCAGTTCCAGACGAACGATATCGCTCTCTTCGTGGATATAGACCTGGAAGCGGGTCCTTTTATCCCAACAAGGGTACAGCATCGGGAGGGTGAAATGGCTGTGCTAGTACAGCTACTCCCCTCCCACAAGATTCCTCTACCCCCTTTCACGTCCCACCTACTCTCTTGCCAAACTTGTCAACTTTGCCGTCGACCGGAAGGGGGGTAGAGACCACATCAGAACCCAATATACAGAAGAAGGTATAGCGTGAAATGGGGAAAATGAAATCGGATAAATCCATTCCGAGGCAAAACACGCCCCCCCCCCTTCATGACAAATTCCGCTCAACGATGCTGGCCCACCCTAGACAAAGTAGAAAAAGATAGTTCAAAAAAGTGAATAGGCCAACCTTCACGATACTTTGATCCTTGTGAGCATCAGCCTCTAGGCTGTCCATTGACTCAAGAAGGAGGTGGAAGACGCCGCCGACAAAATCGCTATAATTGCGTGCGTAAGAATATTCCGTTAAAAAATGGGAAATAACATAACAAATATTCACTAGACAGTTTGTTCCAGGACGATTACACCAGTCGTCTGTTTTACCATAAACACTCCTTCAATGGGTCTACTCATACCGTGATATTCAAATAGGGTCTCCTTGATACGGTAGAATACATCTTTCATATCTGAAATTGGCAGTTGTAGTAAAAAAGAGTTCTGTGTATAACACTATAGTTAGTGCAAAATGTGGTCTTGTCACGCGTGCGGTTGCAGAGCGGTCGGTTTGATCTCAGTGTGGAATCAACCTCAGCATGGGAAATCACCTACGGACAAGGAAAATCTTCCACGCTATTTTTTCGCAGCTGCTTCAAAAGTTGGTCTATTGACTGAGTTCGAAGTTCACGTCGTAGTTGCAGAGCTACTCATTCACAGAATCGGCTAGTCTGCATTGTCACATCAACGGAGTGGCTGGTTGGCAATCGCACGCATGTGTGGCGCACCTAATTGGTGAAAGGGAGGGCCAGTTATACTTCTTTTCGCTGCGTATGCTGGGGCGTGTCACGGGGCTGGGCGTGGCGCGGCGCTGTCATAGGTCAGGTGGGCTAGCTTGTCATTCGTCAAAAAGGGTAACCGTCAACAAGTGGGGGAATGGGCCACGGCTCCGCCAAACTCAGGCTCCCTCCACCTCTTTAACGCCTCAGCATTCGCAGCGTACACTGTAGTTCACGGACTCCATAGAGCTTTCTCCAGCATTTCTGCCGTGAATGGACCCCTTGCAATTTGTCTTCACCCAGACCCGCGGAACTTGAAAGCTGCTTAAGTGAAGTCCGGCGTTCACTACCGCTCTGCTGGCACAGCTAGGGCTTAAAGCTCATAGGCGAAGTGGGGCTATGCTTCAGTAATCGGTGGTGCACCTATAAACTTGAAGCTGCTCGCTTACCGTTTCCTGGTGTAGGTTGATCTGGATCGAAGGCGCTCACAGTCAGTATTTCTTCACCCGGCAATGTATCCTTGCCAAGAAGGACGGAATAGCGGCTGCGTTCGAACAGCGGACCATTATCATTCCTTAAAAAGCGTGATGTGGGTGCAAAATGGGCGCAGTTCGGCGACGAGGAAGGAGGGAGGGCATTTTGCACTTGCGCTGGCTTCATTACAAAATCTCACCCTGGTTAAAACTTGTGAACTCTTGTGAAGATGAAACAAGCTCGTCGAGCTACCCTGGTAAAGTCTGTCAACTCTTGTAGGTTCACAAAAGGTTCTCCAGATGGACCCACACGTCGATGGGAAATAGCAAAGGCGAAAAATGTCTCCTCTACCTGTCGAATTGTCCTCAAAAAATATTAGAAAAGTGTAGATAAGAAAACCAGTCTGATTCGATACTGTGCAGCAAGTTGAAAAATTCACGAAATTGTCCCTAAAGAAACCTACACATCTGTGACTCGAACATGGAGCGACATCCATACTGTAATGGCATCTGTTTTCACGTCTTCGTCATTGGTAGCACCGATTTCTAGGCTAAAATATTCACGGGTTATACACAAGTGGTATTTCCCACTGGTTGCTTAATTCCCAGCCGCTCTGAAGACACAGCCATGCTCGATCGTATTTAGCGGGCGTTAGTCGGCAAATGAGTCCTTGCTCATTTGCGGCGTGCTAATTGCCTTCTAAGAACATGAATAAGTGAACCATAAATGGCATGCTACCCAGGAGGGCCAGCGGCCTGACCATAATGGCTGGCTGCCCACGCCCATATGATCAGTGTGGACTGTTCCTTCAGGTGCTTAGCTGCTTCAAATCTCTTGGACTGCGAACCTGTAAGAATCTTTTGTCTCCCGATCGAGGCCGAACACCACAGTGACCTCGCCGCTGGTCGCGTTGACTGCGAACTCCTTGGATTCCCCACGAAGACGGTAGAACACCGGCTGAGATTCGTCGCCATCTATAGCTCGCATCGTGGCGATAACAGTACCCAGAGCGACATCTTCAGGTACCTTAAAGCTACGATTGTAGTGAAAGCTATCGGCAGATTATTACAGTAATCAGGGTGATATTCTTAATTACCGCTCCCCATTGTCGCTCGATAACCGCCTCAGCCTCCAAATCCCACCCCCCCCCCCTAAAGTTACCCGACCCAATTATAGTCAATTTTACTGCATCCATTCCATCTTGTTGGGGTTCAAAAAACAGTGTAGGTACCGAAATGTCACCGCAACGCGAGCGTTCGCGGCTAATCCCGACACTTCACGCAGCGAAGAGGCTGCACAAATGGTGTTACGACCCATTTTTAGGGGGGGGGTCCACCCGTTCTATTTGCGAAATATTTAATATCCTGGGAAAATTGCCGTTCCCTTATCAAACTAGTATAAAATACGGTATCTGGAAATCTCTCAATACGGGGCGAATCCAAGTGAGAGCACCTCAAGAGTCAGGGGACTCCTTGAGCAAACTTGACCACCGCAGTCCGCACGAGCTATTGCTCCAAAATAAACCACTGTGTTGCAATATCTCTTCATACTAACAATTTGTTAGATTACAAAATGCCACTCACCTCAACGGAAACCTTCTCAAGTACTGCCATCAATGGATGGTCGTCAACATCCAATACTCGAATGGTACTTGCTAACTGCGTGAACTGATGAGCACCAGCTTGAAGGCCCAGGACAAGCTTCAAAAAGAATATTTCTTATCACTTTCAAAACATATTTTGAGTTAGTGCCATGATTTTTCCAAAACAAAGGTGACGTCCTATGGCTGACGGATGACTGGTTACTGTACCGCCCACAATAACAATATCTTT